GTGGGCCTAGCCAACCCATATCCGAAAATCTGGGGGTATCACAGAGGGCCAAATAGTGCCCACAACCAAGCTTGGAATTAGTATGAAGCTTTAAAGAACCAAAATCAACACATTCAAACAATAACTTTCAAGCAATCAGACCAAACTCGAATTGATTATCAAAAGCATTTGACTGCATCAATTAATTGTATTCGGTATTTGTTAGAATAAGGGCTGCATTTCGTGGTCATGATGAATCTAGGCATTCAAGTAATCAAGGAAATTTCCTCCAGCTTTAAAGTTTCTTACTAATCATAATGAGGATGTTAAATCAGTAGCATTAAAGAATGCTCCTAAAAATCTCAAGTTAACCTCACCTGATATTCATAAGGATATTGTGAATGCTGCTGCCATTAAAACTACTAATGTTATTATTAGTGATATTAGAGATGAACTATTTTCTATCATGATTGATGAATCTCGTGACATATCGACAAAGAAACAAATGGTTGTTGTATTTCGTAATATGGATATGGATGGTGATGTAATTGAACGTTTTATAGGTTTGGAACATGTTACAAGTACCACTACTCTTTCACTTAAGATGGCAATTGATGAACTATTTTGTAGGCATGGACTGAGTATAACTAGATTGCACGGGCAAGGATATGATGGAGCTAGTAATATGCAAGGCGAATTTAATGGTCTTAAAACACCAATTTTAAAGGAAAATGAATGTGCTTTTTATGTCCATTGTTTTGCTCATCAATTAAAGTTAGCTCTTGTGAAAGTTGCAAAAAGTCATGTTGATATCACTACTTTTTTTAGCTATGTTGCTAATATGGTCAATGTTGTTGGGCTTCATGTAAACGTCGTGATATTCTTTATGAAAAACAAGCTACCATGGTTATTGAAGCACTTAATAATGGTGAAATTGAAAGTGGACGGGGTCTTAATCAGAATACTACTTTGAAGCGTGCTAGTGATACATGTTGGGGCTCTCACTATGATACTTTAATCAGCTTGATTTCCATGTTCTCAGCTGTTATTGATGTGCTTGAGATAATTATAGATGAAGGATCATATGTTGAACAGAGATCTGAAGCAAAAATTTTATTAACACTCATGCAGTCATTCAATTTTGTCTTTACTCTCCATTTAATGAGGGCTATATTGGGAGTTACAAATAAATTGTCAAAAACGCTGCAAAAGAAAAATCAAGACATTGTAAATGCTATGTCCTTGATTAAGTATACAAGAAAGAACTTCAATTGATGAGAAAGAATGGTTAGGATTCTTTACTCGATCACGTTGCTTCTTTTTGTGAAAAACATGATATTGAAGTTCCCAACATGAATGATACACGTGTAACTTCAAGGCGATCATGACATAAAGCTAATGAAATCACAAATTTGCATTGCAATTGTTCTATGTTGTGTTGGACATGCAACTTCAAGAGCTAAATAGTCGTTTCAGTGAGTCAAACATTGAGTTACTTATTTGTATATCGTGTTTGTGTCCAGATGATTCATTCGCTTCTTTTGACAAGGAAAAACTAATCCGACTTGCTGAATTTTATCCAAGAGATTTTGCTCCGTTAGACCTCCTGAAACTTGGTGATCAACTTAACACTTATATTATTGATATGTGCTCTAACAAGAAGTTTTCAAATTTAAAAGGAATTGGTGATCTTGCTCGAAGAATGGTTAAGACAAAAAGTGACAAGGCTTATCCATTAGTTAACTTGCTTTTGAAATTGGCATTGATTTTGCCGGTTGCTACTACCACAATGGAGTGGGATTTTTCTGCCATGAATATTTTGAAAACTCGATTGCGCAATCAAATGGAAGACCAATGGATGAATGATATGATGGTTGTGTATATTGAGAGAGACATATTTAATACTGTTGACAATGATGTTATTATTCAACGCTTTCAGAATATGAAAAATCGTCGAGGGCAGTTGTGAATGTACTTAATAGAAATATTATGAATCAATGTTTTAATTTTTAATATATATATATTGTTGCTATTAAAGATTGTCCCCACAGAAGGAAATTCCTGGATACGCTGCTGTCAATGAAGATATATTTGGTGTTGTGTCTTGAAGGTTCTCATGACAATAATCAGTATACTGTTGTGGTAGGCAAGACTTCATGTTATTCGCAGCCAAACTCGAGGACGAGTTTTTTTTAAATGGAGGGGATTGATGTAGGACAGAATTCTGAATAGTTCTGCAAGTCCATTCTTTACGATAATGGAGTGTGTTTTTTTATGGAAATGACGTATTGAGAAAAACTCACTAGCTTCAACTTATGGGCCATGTTGGTTTTCGGCTGAAAACTTTCGTTTAGGGCTTCGAAATCGCATTTTCTTATTTGTTAGGAGGCCAGTCAATTATTTCAAGATTTTTGTTCGAGGCCTTAACGAAGTCGGAATGCTCTGGAATTTTAGATTTAGTAGTTTTATTGATAATTTTTGTTACTCTTATTTTTTTCAGAATTTTTAGAGAAACTTTATTTTTTGGCTTATTTTTAGTGTTATTTTCCTTTTGCTATTAGGTTTCATTATGCTTTTAGTTTCCTTCTAGTGTTAGAATTTCTTTTATTATAAATATGTGTACTGCAAATAGCAAAATTAATTTTATTTATTCAATTTTTCAATACAATAGCAAATTTTCTCTTTCTTTGTGGATTCAAAGTTGTTACTTTGTGGATTCAAAGTAGTTTGTCGTTCCTTGTGAACAAACCTAGCTTCTTCTTATGTCATTTGTGCTTATATTTTAGTTCAAATGATCAAAATCTTTCACAACAAAATTCTCTGTCTCTCTTTTTACCTCTTGTTTCCATGAATTTTTTCTCTTCTATAGATTCTTTACTAACTAGGCTCTAAATCTTTTTCTAACAAAACTCTAATCCTCTTTGTTTCTTTGTTTTCTTCTCAATCTTAACCTTCTTTCTATTATTCTTTCTTTTTCCAGGCAAAACACAAATTTTCTTCATTATTAGGTTGATAAAAATAATATTACTCTTAATTTTTTAAAGTACAATATATATATATATATATATATATATATATATATGATATAATTATTATTTGTCCTGTCCATGCTGTATTCATATTCTAATTTTTTAGGATTTTTCGTTTCCGTGTCGTGTCATATCCTCGTCCGTATTTGTTTATGTGCTTCTTAGGTTGTCTACTTGACACCCACCCACCTCTTTTTCACATCCCGCCTTGAGTACCGCCTATGGGAGAGTAAAAGTACCTCAAATTTTTTTTGATATACCTAGATAAAGTTCTAATCTATAAATATAATCCGAGTTATTTTTCTAGTTAGTTAATCAATTTATATGAGACAATAAGCAACCATAACAAGCAAATAAAGTATAATGTATCTCCATACACATCTCAGCAAGCAAATAAGGTAATACAGTAGTAAGAATCCCACATCAAATTGGGATGATAAATGTGTTATACACAAATAAATTAAACAAAAAGATCAGTGTAATCTCAATGCACAAATGAATCAAGTAAACCGGAAGATCAACCAAAATATCAGCAGCTGGAAGTAGATAATATCAACAAAGCCGAGACTGAAAATATTAGATCAGATGAATACAAACATTTATGGGTAAATTATGCGGACCCCTCTATGGTTTGTCATAATTACGGGAACCTTTTTTGTGGTTTGGAAAATTACTCGAACCTCCCCTAAAAATGAAACTAACTTATGCAGGCCTCCCTTCTAATATGGTCAACGCAAGTCAATAACGAATTTTGCTGATGTCATGTACCGAATAAATTAAAATTATAATATTACCCTTCGTCCATCTCCTCTTTCTCACACATACAGAAAAGGTAGTACAATCGTTTACCATTACAACTTGAGGGTATTTTAATAAATTAGACAAATCTGTTAGTGCATTTGATAGCCCGTCACTAGGAAGGGAGGTCCGTATAAGTTAGTTTTATTTTTAGGAGAGGTCTGAGTAATTTTTCAAATTACAATATAACTATGATAAACCAAAGATCTATTTTTTGGGAGGGTAAAAAATCTACTATTTATGTCTTATTATATCCCTTCAGATCCTTCATTTTCCTTTCTTTTTCTTCCAATATTTCATACCAAACACAATTTTTCGTCTTCCTCCATTACCATTCTTTTCTTTTCCTTCTGTTTGCTGATTTTATGGGCTACAGAGTTGCAATTTTGAGGGTTCCAAGATGAAGAGAAACCCTTTTGATCCCAGAGGAGGATTTCAATATCTTCGGTAAGCACCAGGATAAACTATTGGAGGGATATAGATTGATAAAGAAGAGTCAGTCCCCTTCAAAATCCACTTGGTCGTAGTTCCATTGAATGAGGAATGAGAGACCCTCTAGGGTTTGAGCTTCGAGGATTCGAAATATTGTTCATAAAAATGAAAGCTGATATGATGGTTCTTCCCTTGAAGTCGCGAATGATAAGACCACCCTGTTGTGCCAATTTTGTGGAATTGGAAAAATCGGCGACAAATTTGAAGTTGAATCTCCATTTTGTTGGAGGAATCCATTGAGATGGAGGGTGGAGATCAGCTTGCAGGCAGTGATCCAAGGCAAAAAGCTAAAAGAATTCGATAAAGTTCTACCGAGCTCAGTTGAGGATATTCTTGAGGTCCCATCTAGTGGAGTTGAAGTACCAATCGTTATAACTCACTCCGTGTTTGAACTCTGTGAATGGGGTTGGTACCATAGCAGAGCTGACTTAAAAACGTTAAAATTGAGCTCAAATTTGACCCCATTTGGCTTTGAAATGAAGTTATGACTGTTTGAAGTTGCATGATCAAAGCTGATTGAAACAGGGAGCCGGCTCACACTCCGCATGAGCCGGCTCACAACCTGGGAGTGCAGAAAAATGGCCTGTTCTAAGTGCTCTAATGCCTTGATTACTTAGTTGAAACCACATACGGTTATCTTAAACATCCCAAGCACCATTTCCCACTCCCCATAGCACACATCTACCCATGGAGGTAGCCCAAAATAAATACATTTGCATCTATCAACACAACCAAGTTCCAACCTTTCCTACAATGGATTTCAAATATGAAGAGTGGCAAAAATAGAAGTGGTGCCAACATATACATACCAAAATACATAAAGTTGCCAAGGATTAATTACATCAACAATGCTTTCCTAGCATAATTTACAATACTTAACACGTGGAACATATCAACCTTATAGCATGGATACAAAATAGCAAGTAGCAAGGAACTTCAATGGCATCACTATGCTTGTGGACGTGGACTATTCTCCGCTTCCTTTTCGGCACCTGAAAATGTTAAATGATGGGGTGAGCAACACTTGCTCAGTAGAGGTGGCTAAAACACCCTTCCTAAGGCCACGTGAGCGACACATAAAGAAAAGGGAAGAAGGAGAAGGGATCATGCCATTGGAAGGGGCATATCCAACGAAAGGTCCATACATATGTCATAGGTAAACAAGTGAGCAGCACGTGTAAATATAACCAGGAGAATGTTATATGCTATGAATGAAGTAAACAACGTCTCATCATATACGTGCCATCAATGGGTAAGAAAACAAAAGTAGCAACAAGGGCAAATCAGAAACGTTCCAATACAAATTTGTATACATAACATGGATAGCCAGGTAAACATGTGCAAGAATACTAATGAACATGCCCCGTGTGTTGCCATGTATGAACACACGCCAAATACCACACTCACTCCAACATTCTTGGGGTCTGTTAACTCAACATACCCCTCTAGACTAGTTAACAAACCCGGATGCAGAGCAGTCTCCCCGTCAACCGTTTTCAAAAATATTTTTCCAACAAATTTCGGAAAATTAACCACCACAAACAAACCACCCCCCACACACCCCCGCTATGCATTTGTGATGAATAAATATGATATTTCCAGTCAATTCACTACTAAAATCATCATATAGCCAAGGCAATTTAGTAAGCATGCTTCTTCACATCACATTTAACAAGGCATTTTCACATTTACAATTAGTCAAACACGTCATAAACAACCTCAACAAAAATTTGCACAATTGTCACTTAAAAATTCATAAACTCACGTATCAAAAAAAAAAAAAAAAATTCATAAACTCATTTCAAATCGAAATAGATTATAGAGCAATCTCAAGTGATTTGGAAACTAGACTTATAACACAACCACGGTGGATCACTCCTGAAAACTAAATGTTTCTCAATTAAAACAGATTCTAGAAGGAAAACAGCTTACCCAAAATTGGCTGAAAATAAACCTATCGAAAGATTTCATTCATTTGGAAAATATTAAGGTACTACAAAAATTCCAAGCTTTGGTTTTTAGAAATTAGACTAATGGGAGTCACACTGGAAAGTTTGGTAATTTTCCAATGTCAAGAAGTCTATCAAATAAATTATTCAAAAACTGATTTCAAACAGCGAAAAAGCATGGACAGCAGCTATTTTCGGATTTTTTTTAAAATAAATAGATGGCCTAAAACCATCGAAATTAACAGAAACATGCTAGACTAAAATAGCATGTTTCTCTATGTCAGGAAGTCGGTTGAACCATTTCATCAAAATTCATTTCCAATCTGTTATAGAAAACTGGGCAGCGGCTACTAGCGGATTTTTAGAGAAAAAAAAATACAGCCTAAAATCATCAAATTTGACAAGAACATACTAGACTGATGAGAGAACGTTCTATAAAAAATTGAGAATTGTTCTATCTCAGGAAGTCGGTCGAACCATTTTGTCAAAATTCACTTTCAAGCTGGTGATTGAAAACTGGGCAGCAGCTACTGTCAAATTTTTAGAAAATTAAATACATGGCCTAAAATCATCAAAATTTTCTGAGATGGTCTGGACGCATAGGAGAAGTTTCAATAAGAATTTCGTGGCAATTGGAGCTACACAGCCCCTAACACAAAATTCGTTTCATCATCTATACAACTTGGGCAGTAAATGTGAGCATAGTTTCATGTAATTCACATAATATCTACAAGTGAAACATACCATGGGTCTATAACATATAAAACAAGAGTTCAATAATCACCAACATGACAAGGAATTTTAATCATATAGCAAGCTATCCCAAAGTAATTGACAAAGTGTACAATTTAACATGAATAACACACAATTACACACAAAAGCTAAGGAAATAGTGGGTTAGACACCCCTACCTCAAATGAATGAAGAACCATAAACTGCCCCTAGACGAAACTCCTCCAAATCCCACAAAAATTGGACCGCATGATAGCCCTTGTTGTGCTCGTCAACTTTCCCAACTAGCTCTTCGCCAAATTCCGAGAGTTACCAGATCAAATCTCTTGCTTGAGCTTGCAAGTAAGTAAAAAAAGGAAAAAGGGCAGAAGAGAGTGAAGGAGAAATACACGGCTGAAAATGGAGCTAAGGTCCTCAAAATATTAAGTCATTACCCTTGGGCCCCACTTTCCACTATAAGTATGAAAATTCCATCTTTGTCCCTATTTTCTCCACAATGCGGAAGCCTAGCCAAAATAAAAAGGGTTAATTCCACCTACACCCCCTGACATTTGCCTATATTCCACTTACACCCCTTCTAGGTTTCATAATTTCACCTACACCCCCTGTCAGTAACCACCGTCTAAATTCTTAACAGAAATGTGTGATTTTACATTTTTGCCCATGAATTATATATTAGAATTTATAACTTAAATGAAAAGTCCTAAATACCCTCTATTTCTCTCTCTCTACACACAGGCATATCACAGTACATATGATCGTCAATATATATTTTAAGTTTTGATTTTCTTTTGATTGGTATGCATATAGGCCTATATAAATCTAAAATCATGAAACTAAAACTCTGTTCCATTTTTTTTTTTTGGGGGGGGGGGTTAGTTTCAATTCGATTCGGTTCTATTATTTTTACTAATTTGGTCCAGATTTATTTTTACTAATTTGGTCCAGATTTATTTGAAAACGAGACCGAAAATTCTATGTGCACTTCTAGTGTAATTTTACAATGGATAGTGAGGACCGTGAGCTAGATGGTATTGTTTTAACGATTTCATTCGATTTTAGTTCAGATCAGCGAAGCTCGCAACGGAGGACGGCGGCTGTGATACGAACCCGTGTCGGCCGTAGCTGCACCTTGTTGATCCGAAAACCGGTGATGGCAAGGCAACACAACAGGAACCTCCGACGACGGCGACTTCTTCTACGACGCTAACTCTTGTCGTACCTCCACCATCCTCTTCGACCAAACCCAGTTCAGTCCGGCGAGTAGCGATTCAGTCATACCGGCCTTGCATCTCGATATTGTCGACTGCGGAAGACAATGAGAGCAGATCTGACATCCCAGTGTTGTCGACAGCGCAGACGATGATGGTCTCCTGGTTGTTGATATCGACGGTGAGGAGTGTCACCGTCAAGTACAGAGGCGTCCGATGAAGGCCGTGGGGTGGAGATCTATGATCCCAAACGCCAAGGGTCTAGAGTTTGGCTCGGGAAGTAAAGTGGTTCAGAACTTCCCTCCCGAGGCCGGAAAGTCGTATGGCACGATGGTGTAGTGGGATGACCGACGTGAAGTTTGTTGGGATCGTCGGTGGTGAGCAAGGAAGATGCCGACAGTGATGAAGTTCAACGGGACGTCGCGCATCACCGCTGGCTCCTCCTACCACAGTCTTCTTCTTCAATGACCACCACTATCTCAAAAAGCCACCGCCTTTCTCAGCCTCCTTCTACGACCCAATAACGTGCTTTAGTCCAAACAACCCATTAACTTGTTTTGGTGAAACCCAGTTCATGACGGCAAAGGACTGGCCGGACATTTCATTCCCGCCACCAACAGAAGAATCGAAGATGGGTGTAGGTAGTGATTGGCTAAGGGTAATTTTGTAAAATTGCATTGATAAATGAGGTTAAAAATGTCATTTCAAGTATTGGAAGGGTAAAATTGTCCTTGTATCGATTTATTCATGCTGACACCGTTAGTTGCTTAACGGCAGGGGGTGATTTGTTACATAAACCAAAACCTTAAGGGAGGTAGGTGAAATTATGAAACGTAGAGGGGGTGTAAGTGGAATATAGACAAACGTCAGGGGATGTAGGTGAAATTAACCCAAATAAAAATGAAGTGACCCAACATAAAATAACATAACGAGAAAATTCCCGAACACAAAGTACAACCTCGGGCCACACGGGGACCTCCCAAGTCCACAAACCCGAAATGAGGAAAACGATCCTAAATACATTTCTAAGAGTATGTGACTGTAAGAAAAGCTCTAAATGGAATCTCGGAACCCTGGTACACACATCCCCATGCCACAAAACACACAACACGTGTGCAAAGAAAAGAGAGAAAAAAAATGGGGAAAAAAAAAAATGAAAACGGTCTCTACAACATACCTGATGTATTCGATCATGGACATCCAAGTTCATTTTCACAAAAATGCATACATACATATACACACACACACACACTCAAGCAATCCAAAATAAAAGGTCAACCACAGAGAGGCAAAATATTTGCACCTTGGCCAATCTGCAGCGCTAGTTGCTTTGGTAGGGAGTCATCTTTACCCCTCTCCCCTCAACTCCCAGAGAAAACAAAAAGTTGCTCAGTAGGAGCCATCTTTAAGCTAACTGAACATCTTCCAGAGTACAGTAGAAAAGTTGCTCCTAGTCACATTGGATAGTACACCATGACTTCTACTGCTTGCTCAGAGATAAGGACTTGAATTGACCACTATGCCACCTTTCCAATAAGCAAACAGCAACACCCAGTGGCAATAAGAGTTCAAAAAAATGACAGGAAACTCCCATTCAAATAGTTTTAAATAAATTTATAATTAGTAAGTGGTCCAGCTTTGCTCCACTCCTTTCAGTTTATAACTCATATATATTAATTCCAAAATAGCCAAAAAGAAAAAGAAAAGAAAGATATAAACAAGCATTTATAAAAACCAATTGAATTATATCTTCTTTTCATTCTGCCTCATATGAAATTTTGCTTTGAAGAAAAAAAGAAAAAAAAGCATATATAATGGCATTACTGTTACTATTTAAACGACAAATTGACGGCTAGGGAATTTAATAGTTCAAATGTTTAGTTGAAAATTAGTAGGTGACAATATGAAAATATATATATAAATAAGTTTTTGAAATTAACCCAAAATTAATAATAATGATAAAAATGGTTGGAGGTGGAACCCACTATATTAATATATCAAGACATAAATTCAGCTTAGTTTGATTATTACAGACCATAACCTAATCTCTTGCCATGTACAAATCTAGAATATTTGATTTGTTATAAAAATCTAATCATGGCCAAATACCCGAGAATGGTCTGAAAGCGCAGCTTGAAGTACTGGGGAGATGAGGCTGCATAAGTAATGGGAATGCAATAAGATATAGGTCTTAGATGAGCTGTAATAATCAAAGAGTTTGATAAATCGCTTTGTCTTAATACCTATGTTACAAGGACTCTTCAAAAGTAAGTGAAGTATGAACGGACCATCTTAATACATATGTTACAATGACTCTTTAAAAGTAAGTGAAGTATCTGTGTCGAACGCACAATACTCGCACCTGACACGTGTACGCCAAGTCCATGTAACATAGCTTGCTACCCTGCCTAATGAGAACTACCTTGTAAAACTACTCTTCTAACCTGATGTTGAATTATGTCCAACTGCCATGTTTAAGTATTAAGCACCAAACATAATCTACAAATGAGAAACTCCAAAACTAATGCATGCAGATCTGAAGATATATACCAACTGGCTTTTGCCAATGATACATGATTAAAGGCTCTAACATCCCTACATACCTGACTTTCTAGGTTGTCGTACATTTGACTATTTTTTCTTTTCCAATAAAACTGCCCCACTGTCACTTTGTTCATGATGCATCTTGTTCTATTCATTACGCACTTTTTAATATTTAACCTTCATATTTACTTTTTTTTATTGGTACAGAGATCTTTGTTTAATTTTTTATTTTTATTTTTGATAAGTGTCTGTTTAAATGACTAAACAACTTGATATGATGTATTAGATCATGCACATCCAAGTACAATTTCGCAAAAATACACATATATATATACACACACACATAATCATGTTTCCAACATATCACAATGGACAGCATTATGCAAATTTCCCCCTTCCATTTTCTTGTTTTAGCTCAAGCAATCCAAAATAAAAAGCAACAGAAAGGGAAAACATTTGCACCTTGGCCAATCTGCTGCACTATTTGCTTCAGTAGGGAGTCATCTTTACACCCGCTCCCCTCAACTCCTAGAGAAAACAAAAATATTACACCATCACTTTAATGTCCCGACTGCAGTTCCATTAAGCTAACTGATCATCTTCCAGAGTACAGTAGAAAAGTTTCTCCTAGTCACATTGGATAGTACACCATGACTTCTACTGCTTGCTCAGAGATAAGGACTTGAATTGACCACAATGCCACCTTTCCAATAAGCCAACAGCTGGCAATAAGAGTTCAAAATAGTAATTTTTTTTCTTATTTTTGTGCTTTTCCCATCAGCCAAAATAGCATAGCACCTCCCATAGAATCATAGAAAAGAAGAGATTCTCCACTAATTCCTGAAACTACTGTTTATGTTAAATTGTTTGGCTAATATTTACCATCAGGCGGACTAAAATTCTCAAAAGTATAAACAAACTTCATGTTCTCTTGAGTCTTGCCTTTCATCTCTCTCCAAATTTTTTTCTTTTTCTGCCACCTTAATACTGCCATTTTCTCACATTTCCACTTCCGATATCTTTGCCGATCCTTCAACCAGCCAGAATAATCCTTCCCTTGCTTGCATTCAATGAAATCCGTTAAGTCGTCAATATCAGATGATTTTTTCTGGGCACTCTAGTATGCACTTGAGAAAAATCTCCCCATTGCAAGTTTCCTCTATTTCCTCCTCTGTGCCAACAACACATTCCATGTGATTTGCAAATGAGGAATTTGCTGAAGTATTTGTTTGCCCATCCTCACTTTCTGTACAATCGATTGCAACAGGAGCTGCACTGCCAAAAAGTGACAAAATAAGACAAACAGAAGGAGATAGCATGATGATGGTGTTTTGGGAGAGAATTTAGTCAGCAGTCTACACGAGTTTTTAGTGGAACCCTCCTGTATAATTTAACAGAAGCAAGAGAATATGCCAACATTCTCACCACCTCAAAACTCAATATTTTTTGTTTCAAACACAAACTAAGATTAAAAAAGAAAAGTGTAAGATAGCCAGTCTAGTTTTGTAGAAACAGAATCCACAAAAAACTGAAAGAAGTTTTTCCTTTATTGGAATTTTAGCACCTGCTTTAACAAGACAAATTATTCCATGCTCCAAATACTAGCTATAATCATGTTTGGGTCAGTAACCTTTTTTGATAAGCAAAGAATTCATTGAAGGCACTCAAAAAGGGAGCACAGGCTGCGCAGCCCACTTACAAAGTATTGAAAAACAAAAGAGTCGCTATAATTCAAGTTATCCACAAACAACAAAAGCTCCTCCACAGAGTTACAAAATCTACCATGAATCCAAAAAATAATAATAACCTTAGAATAGAGAATTTTTACACCCAAATAGGAGTCTCCTCCCCATCAAAGGATCTCTTATATCCCTCATGCCATAAACCCCCCTACAGGCAAAAGGGGACAACCGTCCAAGCATCTCAAGCTTGTTTCCTCAGTACACATTCATCCCAAGCTTCAAGCATGATCTTCGTGGAAGGCAGCATAACCCAATACACATCAACCAAGGCAAAAAGCAATCCCCACCCATCCCTGGCAACTGGGCAATGCAAGAGGAGGTAGTTCACCGACTCCTCACATCTCTAACACATGCAGCACCAATTGACAAAGCCTAGTGCCTCCTTAGATTGTGAATCATCAAAATCCTCTCCGAAAAAAAACAGTCCACCTGAAAATTCACCTTGGGCTTTTGAATGCCAAATAACCTTCCAAGGGAACTAAACATCCACCAACTGTATCCCAATACTTAAATTTATAACCAATAACCTTCCCAAAGCATTGAAATTTTAAAATATAACTCTTACAAATATCTATATATATATATATATAATATATCATTTAAGGATAAATTATTTCAGATGCTCCTACATTCAGCAAAGGATAAAGACATTTCTCTTTTCCTATGGAATTAAATAGCTCATTTCTATTTGAATCATCAAGCTATGATTGGTATCACATACCAGTTAGGAAGAGTTACTTGAAGATATGATAACATGTGATTTGACTAAGACCATGTGGCTTTGGATAGAGCGTAATGGAAACATAGGATTCATGTAGCCGACCCCAAGTAGTTGGAAAAAAGGTTCTGGTTGTAATTTGGCAGGGCATTAGGAAGAAAAATAATGTAAAAGGAAAAAAGAAAAATGCCACATGTGATAGATTTAAAAAAATCTATCCAGAGATTCACTTCTCGATTGAATAAAAGAAAAAAGGGGAAACAGAAAGAAGAATCCCAAGAATAAGGAAGCATGAAAATTCCTATCCGGGGAAAAAAAAAATCATATCCTAGTCAGTGTCAAGATTTTGCATTACATAATATATCACATACAAAAAATGAGAGAGAATGTAGGAAAACAGTTCAAATGCTGAATGTTGTACTAGCAAAACTTTTGACAACATTGCTGAGATTTTTTTGATTCAGCCAAGGGTAATCAAATTCGAATCAACTGCATGAAAACAATCAAGTAGCTGACAAAATACCCAACCAACCAGATTTGAGTCATAAAACACCTGCACTAAGCTTCCGGATATAAAGAGCAACAATTTTTTAAAAAAATAAAAATTATAGTCCATCCATTAGGAGTGGACAAAATGAATGGAAGGGAATGGAGGAATGATGGAAGAGGCATCCTTAAGGAAGGAAATGTTTCTTCCCCACTTTTTGATTGGTTTAGTCATCAATGGAAGGGAAGAGGAGGTTTTGATATTTAACTAGTATACCCCTAATTATATCAGACAAGTTAATAAACGAGGGTAATAGCGTCAATTCAACTTTAACCAATAAATATCCGTTGTTCTCTCACCTCGGCCTTCCCGTTTTGGATGGAAGCAAATTGGTGGGGCTAAAGGGAAGCTTCAAACATCCTACCATATCTTCCCTCTCCCCTCCAACCAAAGAATGGAAGCATGCTCCATCCATCCCTTCTTGCATCTCTCCTATCCAACATAGCATTAGGATATCTTAAACAGAGAAATTTTGGTACTGGTCTCAATCACAGGGCTACAATTGGAGGTGGAAAGTCCAAGTCATTCAAAAAAGTGCTCAATAGGGGATCTATGTTATTGTCTACGCGTGAAATTAGAAGATTGTTCTTGGGAGCATTTAATGGATTCTTAGTCTATAAGGGGACAAATTCTCTAGGATCATCTGACCTGCAATTGATGTCACTGCATAGGTCAGGACCCACCCGCATTGTGTAAATATTGTCCACTTTGCACACTCTCCGTGCAAGCAACTTTTCCCCCTAAAACGATGTGGGATGTCACAATCACACCTTGTCATGGCCTTGTGCAAGGTCTCCCCATTTCCTAGCTAGGGAATGGCTCTGATACCATATGTCAGGATCCGCCCTACTGTGTAAATATTGTCCGCTTTGTACACTGTCCGTGCTCACTGTTTCAAAATGTGTCCACATTGAGGATAAGTGTGGACGGTTAGAAAAAGTGACATGGTCCACATTAAGGGTAATATTGGGGGAAGAGGAAGACCAAAGTTAATGTGAGTAGAGTTAGTAAATAAAGATATGATAGCATGTGGATTGACCGAGACTATGGGCTTAAATAGAGTGGTATGGAAATATAAGATTCATGTTGCCAACCCCAAGTAATTGGGAAACAGCTTGGTAGTGGTTGTTGTTGTCGTCGTCTACACAATTAGGGGAATCTAAACATACAAGTGCCAGCAACTTCTCCCCCCAATCGATGTGGGACGTCAAAATCACCCCCTGTAGGAACACAATGTACTCACTGTCTTACCCTTATGGGCTTGTGCATAGTCCCCCATTTTCGTCAAAACCCGCCCATGCTACGTAGATATAGTCCAATTTGCACAATCTCTATGCTCACGGTTTTCAAAACATGTCCACACAATTAGGAGGCATCCACACATATAAGTGCAAGCAACCCCCTCCCCAAGCGACGATGTGGGACGACACAACATACAATAATATGTTGAGTCTATTATGTGCTGCTTCATTGTATTTAAATGCAGAAAATGCACTATAAGGTTCTTGAGTGATTTCATGATTTAATGCCACACATTTTCCCGCTTAAGACCATATTAGCGTGTTCATTTAACAAACACGTATGAGAATACATATTTTTCACTGAAAGTTGAACGAAGCATGACACAAATCCAAGGGCTATTTATCTGCAAACAAACTTATTTAAAATATATATATATATATTCCTTTTTTTCTTTCTGTCTTAAAACAAACAACACTTGAACAGAAAAAACTTCTGGTATATTTAATCTACAAGAACACTCACTGTGCCGTACAAATTAAATAGTGTTAACTACCACCTACTCTAAAAGCTTAAGCTATTAGAGAGGGTGTAACTTCAATATTTATATCTTTAGCACGCCCCCTCACATGTGGCATTCTTTTGGTCACTGTGTGTTTTCAATTTTAATTATCTGGGTGACTGTAAGGGTGTAACTTCAATATTTATATCCTCTAGCAAATAAGAACAGCAAGAATCCCACTCTTCCCTGTACATACAAAAGGTGATTTAGCAATTATACTTCATAATAAAAACCTCAGCTATGTGAATTTGCAGAAACGTGGACTGTATATTGCTCCTATTTGTCACAACTGTTTGGCCAACACCGATACCAATAATCATTTATTTTGTGAATGTAAATATGCTGTTGTAATTTGGCAAGAAATTGCTAGTATTATTCAAATGAATCTGCCCAGTTTCAACTTATTTCCACAAATGATAGACTGGTTTCTGCAACAATCAGCTTTCAAATCTACAAAATCAACAGTGGTAAGTGCCTTATTTGCTGCCACTATTTGGAAGATTTGGTCCAATCGAAATTCAAATCTCCATCATGGAATGCAGGATACTTCTTCTTCTGCTGCTAGAGCTATTGTTTGGGATGTGCTTGCATACCTGAAACTTAGACTTGAGGATTTGTTAATCATTTTTTAATTCTTCATGTTGTGGTTTTCTTTTTTATTATTGTCCAGCATTTATTGGAAATGGGCTTATTCTAGTCCTGTGATGTAAAAAGGGGGAATGCCTCCTTAAGACCTTGTAATGCTCTTTTTTGTTTTTATATATCATCCCATTCAGGAAAAAAAAAAAAAAAACAAAAGGTGATTTAGTCCAAACTAAAGTGCTATTGAGGCAAACAGAAAATGAAGAAGTCTTCTTACGACAGTAAGAAAGACCATAATTACTCCAATCACCGTCAGAGCCTAGATTTCTATAGGGAAATCTGAGGGAAAGCCTTGGAGAAGTATAAACCCTGATAATATCTCAAAATTATATTGATTAAAACTTGAATACAAAACATATAGAGGTTGTCCCTTTTATAAGACAACTCTTAATGAAACTTTTCCTAGACTGACTTTCATGCTACCCACAAGTCATTAATAATGACTTCTACTATTCCCTAACAATTTTAGATTCCCATATAATAATTACTTACTAAATAGACTTTTGACTAGATACTTTTCAAGACGCCATTGACCGCCGTAATCCTGACTGAAGTACCCTTACTCATTTGCATCAGCTATTATTCATAAATTGCAAAACTAGAAAGATAAAACTTGGATAATTTCCAAATTTCAAGAAATAAGCAATGTGGTCAAGTCAAAAAGAATTCCTGAACTAGAAAGACAAAACTTGGAAACAAGCCAATTTTCAAGGTTTAGAACAAGCAAAATAGTCGAAACAAAAATTTACCAAAAATAACATTATCAAGGCAAAACAATCGCCCAACACATCCTTTAAAGGAAATTTCTCACTTTCCAACATCTGA